TTTGTGGTAACTGTCATTTTAACAGTAGAACCCGTTCTGCTGCAGGCAAGGCCCAAATATGTTTGTGTTTCAAACCTTCGAGCCATCGAGCCATCATGAAGTCAAGAACCAAGAATACTTGAGGCAACTTGAGGCTCTGAGAGCCATGGTAGCAGACTTGAATGAGCTGACTTACACTTGGTATGAAAGGCTAAGAAATTAATCTGGATAGAGGGTGGATAACTTGGGTATAAACATTCTTCATTGTTCTACATAATACTCCATTTGTATCACTTCTGTATACGGTTATTGTTAAAGAATTTGACTTGGGAACATAGCAGAAGCATTATCAGTGGAACTCCTTTATTGTTTATTTCCTGAGCCGAATAAACTTGTAGACATTTTCATCCAGCAGATTTATGGCGCTAAACCTACTTGACTCCATAGCAATAGAAAAAAAAAGACATCTGTAAAAAAATCAAAGTTAGCATCGTTCTGCTTATTCAACAACAATAAACATTCAACACAAATATGTGAAAAACAGATCTGTATAAAAAAAAACGATACGCAAGCATAAGGGTTTGTCTTTAAGACCTTTTTGTTGTTTGTGTTTTGACTACAATGAGTACCAAGAGAGGCTGCCAATCCACTGACAAGCATCCTTTTGCACACACAATGTGCATGCGTACAGACATATACAGTGTTCATGTTCACTGAGGCAGCATGCAGATTCAGCTGTGCTCTTAGCTCACCGTCTGTGCTCAGTGACATCACACCCCGACAATACCACCATTCACCATTCAATTGTACAGGTTTCTGTTTCTCACAGCAAGACGCGCCGTGAAAGGTGCGGGAGAAAATGAATGGGAAGTGTAATCGGGTGATCATGTATGCTAATGGTTTAGCTGCTGGCAAGAGATTTCACTCTAATCTGAAACGAAAGCTGACACAGCCAGTTTTACTCTCGCCGTGCTTCAAGCAAACTGTCTTTACTTGCGCACTCTTTAGAGATTAAAGGAGATCTTTCATCTGAATGCCAAGTGTATCTGTTGAAATATAAAGAAATATTACAACGGTAAGTTGTTCACAAGTGACTAGATCAATAACAACAGTTTGATTATTGGTTCTCTTGTGTGCTATGAAATGTTTCTTTAAGAGCAGCTCCCCTTTTTTTTCCTCCTTCAAGTAAAAAGGAGCATATTTAGAGCCTGCCAGGAATTATGTCATCCACTCTTCTGGTGCCAGCTCCACAGTGGAGCAGGCTGCACTGAAAGAACATATAGTATTGTTTACCACATAAAAATCTCAGCACCTAGACCAATGCTTAGTGACAAATTTATTGTCCTTAGTAACAATGTAAACAATAGATAATTGGGAAATAATAAATAACACATTTTCATACACCAGCACTAGGGCTGTTTCAAGGCTGCTTTGCCTGAAATTAGAAAGCGAGCCAGGATGTGTGCAAGCACGGCACTTTTTCAAAGGAGACAGAGGAACAATGGGAAAACTCCTCTCTCTGGAAAAAGGTCCTGCTGACATGAGCTGAGTCTGGTGCCCGGATGAAGATATGCTTTGCTAATGAACACAGATTCACACACAAGCTTCACTTGTCAACAAATATATGTTTTTGAAAGGCTCTGTCTTTTTCTATTTCTATGGGAAATAATCAAGCTTTGATCTGTTAATTTATTGAAAACAATATCTAAAAGCAGAGTATAAATCTCACAAAATAAGTTTAAAACTCCATGTTCAATCATATTTGTGTCCCTATATGTGAAAACCTAAAAACTGGAGAACAAATGAAACTTTTCAGACTTTTCAAACTTGAAGAGTAACCTGAAGATATCAAGCCGTTTACGCATGAAAAGAAGGCATGAAGAGAGAAAGAAAACAAGTTAATCAGTTTTTCATCACTTGTCCATGTTCATCACACATGTGCATCACTCGCTGCATGCTTTTTTAATTTCCTGATTTCCTCCCTCTGTTTGTATGTTAGTCTGTTGCCATCCAAGCGTCTGTCACTAAGCAAATGACGGCAACACAGAGCTGAGGCATGAGATGTATGCGCGAGAGTGCGCGAGCGGTTTGCAAGGCCCCGTGGAGAACTGGCTCTGCGCAGTGATGTAATGCTTTGGCCGGCAAGCTGTGGAACTTGGCCTCGTCTCTACTGTGTTTCCTCCACGCTGCGAGGGTCAACTATCCCACAACCTCCAGCACACAACACATACTGTTCAATTCCCTGGACCACAACAGAGCAGAATTCAACCACACCCGGCACCATGAGCACCCAGTCCTAAACAAGAAGGAAAAACACACTTGAAACAAGATTAATAAAACATTCCAACCCTTAGAAAGCGACTCGAAGCATTAAGGAAAGGCAGGCATGTCGATTATTCCACCATCAGGCTGTGCTCTACCACTTAAACGACCGCACTCACAGGCTGAAATCTGGACAACAAAGAATCACAGTGATAGAGTCTTCAGCCCAAAGAGTGCAAACAGAGAGCTCAGAGCAAGATATGAGTCCCCCAGGGGCCACAGCAGTCCTTTGGCTCATTAACTATTTACACCAGAGACAGTCCTCCCTACTGCTCTGGCCCACCACAAAATCAATTAGCCTTCATTAGCCCATGCTCTGGGCATGCTTTCTCTGAGGGGAGGGATAACCCTGCAACCAGTGCCTCCAGTTACTGCAGAATATCACACAGTCATACGGACATGTGTTGTGATGCTTTCACGTAGAAAGACGGACAAAGGAAACTGGAGCAAGGTTTGTTTTAGAAACATAAATCTTTTAGCTTTTTACTGTTGAGTGTCACCGAACGTCAATACCGTCTCACCTTCCGTCTCCCTTGCCCGTCCTGCCTTTGTGTGTATTGCTTACATGCCTCTCAGAATCCCACTCAATCCCTTTCTCTGCTCTCCCAGTGTTAGCGCTGGCAGGAAGAGTCCATCCAGGTCTGCGCCTCTGAGGTGTGGGGTTACAGTACGGAGATTTCCAATTGGCGGAAAGTCAACATGGTCGGGGTAATGTGATTAGAGCCGGATTGAGAACGTCGCAGGGGACACATGGGCCTGATCATGGCCCAGTTATCCGATAGCAAGGCCGTATTTATTGACAGGGCCCGGCGAGGATATCATAGACATTAGAGACCCGGTCTATGCTTATGAAACCTGTGCTGGAGATTGCACCCAGATAACACAATTAGTCTCTCACTTTCTGCCCACAATCAGGGAATTCCATCAGTCGTGTTCAGACATCAGGGAGCAGAATCTCAATGGATCCAAATTTGGTTGCTGAACGGCCAACAAACCAGAAAGTTGCATGGTTAAGGGGGCCTGCAGCCATTTAGAGAGCACATGTTTATGGGAGAGCTAACCGAGCATTTACAATTCAATTACACAGATAGTAGGAGGAAAAAAGGGGTAAGATGTGTCTGGATGAAGGCCAGAGGAGAGATAAGCCTAATACACTAATATTGTGTTACCTTAGTGTGTTACCATAGGAACCGTTGAGGAGATTCAAAAGACTACAAAGGCGATCAATCTTGAGAGAGCAGGAGAAAGAGGGAGAATTAAATGCCCTGGGACTGCTCTCGCTCTCCTCTATCAGTGCAATAACTCTTCTGATGACCTCTGCTACCTCCTCTTTCCTCTCTACAAGATGTTTCTCCCCTAAAAGACCTGCTATCTGCAAGAGTCTCCAAACATTACAAACTGGCCAAAGCTTTTCATCATAGCTTGGGATATTTTTTTTTTTTGTTATCAAGGTTTTGACAATGCGCTTATTTATTCAGAAAACACAAGTTTGCAGTTGGCTACGTTGCTACAGAAATAAGCAGTTTTGTTCACTTCGAGAGCAACTTTTCAAATATCTAAAATTGCAATGCAAAAGCAGTCAGACTTATTGTTCACTGGCTGTAATATTACAAACAGAAACTTCAATGTACAGTATTACGACTTGATTTTTTAAAATTATCATTATTATTTCAGATCTGCATGCAAACCACTTAGTGTGATGAAAACTAAGACAGCTCATTGCCCTGAACACACAATTGCCACAGTCAAGCATAGTAGTGGCAGCATCATGCTGTTGGGAATTCCAAAAACTGAAGAAAAGACTTGAGAGTGGCACAGTGTTTCACTTTGCAGCAGAACAACAACCTTCGAAGCTGGACATACATCAGACGATATAACCTGACCTGAGATTTGAGGTTCAAAGATGCTGTCCATCTAATTAGAAGCTGAGGTTCTACAAAAAAACAACAATAGAGACATCCTCGAGAATCTAGTGGTGAAATGTGGTTGTGAAAATTGTTCCCTCTATGGGGATGACACCTTGCACAATTTTGCTAACATTAAATAATTTCCTTCAGCCTCACAAATATGCACTACTACTATCACATCATACATGTATAAAAAAAAACTTTAATTTTACCCTCTTGTGGTACAAAACCTTTCCAAGGGAATGCACATTAATCATCCAGTCAGTTAAAAGTGTATAAGGTGGTAGACTGTGCAGATGAAAGAACAAAACGTCACATCAACTTACCACCAATTCTTTTGCCTTGTCATTTATTCTCCATGCCGCCTTAAACTACAAGCCCAATCATCTTTCAGCCTTTCTTCTTCTTCATACACATCCCATTCCCACTGCCGTAACTGCCTGCTTTGTGAGGGATGAGGTCATTTGATTTTTTTTCCCCACAGCGTTAAACTAGTGCTAACAAGTTGCAGGACCTACAGAACATGTTCTGTACATTAAGATATACATCAGGCAGTCGGTGGGCAAGCAACCCACAACCACATAAAGGGCCCATTATTCCAGCCGGAGTCGCCAGCGCTGCACTGGCAGGTTGAGACTCAGCTTTGATTACACACCGAATGATGAAATCCACACAAGCCTGAGAGCACAGCGTTGCTGGCACAGCCCAGTGGAAAAGAAAGTTGCAACACTTGTGTGTCTGTGTGTGTAGAAATCAGTATGTATCCTTGTGGATACTTGCACATATACTCACCAGTTTGGCTTCTGAGTGCATTGAGGGAATGTGAGTGGAGCAGGAGTTGCTGTGGGCGGGGCTCGGCATGCCCATCATGTTGGAACCCATGGACATTTGCCTCTCCATCTTAAGATACAAAAATAAAATAAAGAAACAGATGCACTTAATGGTATTTTCCAGCAAAACTACTCATATGCCGCCAAACCTTTCACTTTCTTTTCGCTCTATAGCTATATACTTTTATGCTTTTCATTGAGATTTCATGTGACACACCCACATAAAGTAATGCAAACTTTTGAAGTGGAGGAAATTGCATGGTTGTAACAATTTTATTCAAGTAATGTTAAGAAAGTGGCATGCTGATATTATGTTGTTGTTGGGTTTTTTTATGTTGGTGAAATACCTTGATTATGTCACAAAATCACCGTCAAGCGTGAGACTCTGACCAACTAGGCTGTGTTGGATTAGATGAGAGAGCGTGAGAGCCTGATTTCGCATGACGGGCTGGCCCTGTGCACAGCTCTGTGTGATGATAACTGGAGCTGACCCAAAACAGGAAGCCAGAATGGAGGGACTTAACACAGGAAGCCAGTGCAAAAGGAGTGTGTGGTGCAAATATAGATGCAAGTATGTATATGTGCGTGTATGTGCTTCTGATAGCACTGCGACTTTCTGTCAACGTAAAACATCAAAGCTTGGTCACTATAGCTACAATGTACGTTAATGCAACAAACGGGGATTAAATCAGAACGATTAGTATTTCAGGCTTTCAGTGTGTATCAGTGTGTGTTGTCGTGGTCTGCCTCTGACTGATACCTGAGACCTGAATGTAAGGAAATCAACTGGGTAAGCTGACAAGGGTCAGAGGTCACCTGTGCAAGGGCGATAATATGAGTAGCGTTTGCCATGAAATGTAAGCAGGAAAGAAGAAACCTTTGTTTCAGAGTCTCAAAGCATATATATGCATATATATGTGTGGGAGCGAACAGTGCTCTGGCCTCTCAGCTCTCTGGCTGGTGTGGTGGTCTCAAAGAGAAATGACCCCCTCCTCCCCCCCACCGCTCCCTCATTTTGCCGCAGCCCCTTCCTCCACCCTGTGTCCGCAGAGACTTAGGTCTAGAACCTGACACACAACCTTAATTGCAGTAAGTGTATTTTGTGTAAAAATATCACCCAAACCTACACCCCTTTCCTGAACCGTCAATCTTCCCCCAAATCACTTAGCTCCTAATTTAATAAACATGGGAGGGACATTTTCCGTACCATAAACACAGCTTGTCTTGAGTTACAATGAGAACATATGTTATATCCTGATGTGAGGAGCTTTCTGCACATTGTTATTATTCCTGTTACACACTGTGGTTTTAAATCTCTTAAAGACAAGAGTTTAAAATCTAAACCCGCAGGACGAATCCTTCATTGCTGCAGGAGCTGATTTACTCTGCAGGGCAATAATTTTAATAGTGATAGAAAACATCCCCAACAGCAAACCCACATGCAGTGCACAGAGCGCGTACGGTGGCCTCAATAAGTGAACATGCACTGTAATCTGTTGTTACACTCACGGGCATCAACACAGCGGAGGAGCCAGGCATGGTTGGGTCTGGCAGGGTTCCAGGCATGGAGGCTGGCAGAGGCTGTCTCTGTCTGTTTCGTAGGTGCAGTAGTGAGGACAGAGAGCCGGGGACTGGCCTGAAAATACACACAAACACACGTACCCACGTCACAACATCAAGTTGTACTCTGATACTAACTGCAATCTGGCAGTCTAACATCCTCCAAACGAGCTTTGCGTCAGTTCTCAAGGTCCCTTCCTGTTTTAATTTTGTACCTGCCACCAAAGAATTATATTTTTTATTTATTTTTGCGAAGTATTTTTGAGAAGTTTTATATCTTTATGTAGAGATATCTAATCCTAAAAAAGTTTAAATCTAATTTCTAATTGAATTTATTCCTAAATAATTTTTATTTTTATTTAGGAAATAAAATTTAAAATTTATATCACACCCTAATTTAATTTATTTCAGAGTTGATCAATGGTTTGGCAGTGAATTCTATTGAAATATGACAAATTGTGAGCACTGATCAAATCAAATAAACTCCAAGTTACTTTCTGCTGGTAGATAAAGTCAAAGAGACATCTTTTCTTACACTACACTAAGAGTAAAATTGAGAAAATTGTAATCTGTTGCTGCAGTGGACACAACTTGCCTCTTGTCAGGCAAAAACAGGTGCATGGTTGGTTCTGAAATGCTGCACAAAAATTTTGATTTGGTTGATTACATAAATGAATAATTATACAAAAACTCCTCAAGAAGGTCATCTTAATATTTCACATTCAAGAATTCAAATGATAAAATCCAGAGGAATTATTTCTAAATGCAATGTTTTGATGAATAAGTATAATTAGAAACATAAGCATAAAGTTTCTATTCAAACTTTCAAGGTGCAGTATTGGTTACCAAAAAAATGTAACCGAAAAAAAACAATCATAACAACTACTTTCTCAATACTGTCTAAGTTAAACACACTTATTGGTTCTATTCTTTTTACATACATCGATGCACTCCATGGAAGAGTAAAATAAACTAAATGTCTGTATATGGTGAGCTACAGGAAATAATAGTACTGAATACCAAAAGAAAATACAAAAAAACACATACATGATGAAGAAAAACATAAAAGACAACATGAGGCGGTCTATATCTGAATTTGTGGTTCCTAATATCTCATCATCATATAATCAATATGGTGCAAGCTTTAATCTTTTAAATGGGTTCATGTGCATCTAAACCCAACTCCCCTAAAAGTTAACAAGCTACATTTTTTTAGCAAATATTACGTATACAGATAAATCATCCTACCTGCGACGGAGAGCAGATTTACGAACGTCAAAAATGGAACAAAAACTATAAAGAATCCTCACAAATTACATGTAGTTTCACATGAAGATGAATTCAGCAAAGAATTGTTAAGATTTCAAGTAAAAGGTGCACTTTGGCCCTTCATGCCTTTTCGGCACAATTTTAAAGAACTTCTGCTCTCAGCTTGCTCCTGCTGACATTATTTGAATCCACTTTACACAGCCAAAAAATATATATATTCATGGATTAGATGACTGTGTCCATGCTCAATGAGTTATGTTTTTTTCTCAGCTACTACATGCAATGTGCAGTGGAGGAGGTGTGGAGAAAATCCTCTTCAGTGACCACAAAAAAATGCTCCAAACAACCGGCCAATGAATACTGGAGGCCACATCAATAAGTGATATGCAGAGAGGCCCACGCTAAGCTTCGGCTAATGACAGCAGTCACGTCTCAATTGCATGGCTCAACCATACTACCTACATCTGCACGCTGTCAAATCATTTATACAACTGCCACTAAATCCCCACTTGTCAGAACATCAATTTCCAGCTGCAGGACGCACATGCGTAAAGTTACATTCAGCCTAAAAACGGCACACTCTGCATGATTTTTTAATAACCCACAGCAGTGAAATCAATAATTCCCTTGTTATCAGTAGCGTCATGATGGATGCTGATGCTCGAAGAGTCAATAAAGCTCAGTTTTCTTCAGCATTTAAAAAAAATAAAACTGGGTAGAAGCATTTAGGTAAGGCGTGTTGAATGAATTAAAGAAATCAATCGACAGCATCACCTTTTTTTTTTTCTACCGTAATAGAGAGCAGTGAAGGACTGATGTCAAAATAGAGGGGTGCAGTGGAGCAAACAGTCCCACACCTGAATAAATACCTGTATTTTTCCAGACCTAAAAATGAGCATTTACGCCTCAGACATTTTTGATTGCTACACACACACGTTCACATACAGAACTATTACCATCTGACTACATGTCAGTCCTCTCTAACATCCCAATTTATCACAATCACACCCATTTAGCAGCACTTATGACACCTGAGCAGTGCGGCGAATCCAAGCATTCCCACATGGGAAAAGTCATGAAAGTACAATGAGTTGTATGGCCTGGCTCCACATTTACACTATTTCAACATGAACACTTTGGAAATGTAAGAGAATAAAGCAACAGTTGCATGGTGGAAAAAAAAAAAGAACAGTTTGCCAGTTTGTAAAACCCACCTAAAGGTTTTCTATACTTTGTAGACATAAAGGCATTGGTTAAAGTGGTAATTTTTGTGCTTCAATTTGAATTTTATGACTGAACAATTCTCTAACTCTAGAAGCAAAATTTTTTTATTTACAGTATTTTTATGTGTCCAGCTTTAAACATACTTTTTTCTTTAGCTTAGCTGTCCTGCTAACTTATCAAATTACAACTTTTTTAAAGGTAAGTACAAGTATTCATACCTCTTGAACTTTTCCGCATCACCCGCGTCACAACCACAACCCTCAAAGTATTTTATTGTAAATTTTTAATTGCCCAGCACACAACTGTAAAACTGAAAAGTGGAATAAAAAGAACTAAAATAAATAAATAAATAAATATAATTTCCTTGGCTATATTTAACAAAATTTGTTGTAGTTTGAATTACCACAGACCTACCAAAACAACACTCCACTAAACTGAAAGGCTTGCACAGGAGAGAGGCCTGTGATTACTCAGGAGTACTCTGACCTTTACAAATAAGGGGGAAGAAGAAAGCCATTGGTGAATGAAAGGAGGCTCAAAGAAAGTCCAGTTTCAACAGTTTTCCTCACCCATGTACCAGACCTAGCAAATATATGGGAAAGGTACTCTGTACTTATTATACACTGAACTTTATGGCCTAAATTTAAAACAATGTGTGGCAGTAATCTAACTCTGCACATCCATCTGAATACAACTGCCTGCTTCAGGTGTGTCCTTGCTGCCACACACTTGAATGGGTGATTAACAGGTTTCTGCAGCACTTGATGGCATGCAGAGGAGAAAATGCAATAATTTCAATCAAGTGTGATGGAGCAGAGAGACATAAGAAACATGAAGGTTAAGAACCACTGGTCTTGATCAAAGCATATCCATGTGTTAGAAAAGCCCAGTCAAAGCCCAAGCCAAAATAAAATTGAGAATCATATGCGAGCCCACAGGTGCTCTCCATCCAATCTGACTGACCTTGAGCTAAAAAGAAGCAAAAATGTAAGTTTCCACATGTGCGGCTGGAAGGGTGCCACATCAACAGACCAGCAATAGCAGGAAGGATGTATACAAACACACGTCACATTTTTATTTTTTCTTCTTTTAAACATTCTATAAAACAGTCTATCGCTTCCCTTCCACATCACAGTAATGCTCTACTTAACGTAAACTTTCAACACGCTGTTCTGTTAGGCTGCAATGTAACAGAAGACAAAGGGGAATGAATACTTGCAGGGCACTCTAGTTATGCATGAAAGAATATATGCTTCATAGATTATTGATCCTGACTTCAATTTCTTGTGAATGCAGAGAGAAAAAAATCACAATAGCACAAATTAAAATGGAGCAGAGCGCAGGTGGAGTATGTAGCCTCTTGCTTTCTAAAAAAAAAGTCCCCCTTGGAGTCATTTACCAAGGACACACCTTGGTGTTAGAATGGCTAGTACCAAGTATCTGTTTGTCACCGCCTCACAAAAAAAAAAGGTTTTTCAATTGAACAGATGGAAAAACAACTCTAGCATCTGACAGCACTTCTTCTGTGTATTAAACTATGCCTTTTCAGTTTCAATTATTAGTTGTCTCAGAGAGTTTAACACATAAAACAATGTATGGCTTTTATTTACAAACCACTTCCTTACTGATCAGGAAATTGTGTTTAATGCTATTTGTGTATTTGACTAATCATGTAATCACAAAAGTATTTTTTTAAGTGAATTAAATATTCCAGGCGCTGTTTACTTTCTTATGTGAGTTAGGAAGTTCTTGTGCTCATTATACCCTTAAGATGACCAAAAAACAACAACAAAAATACCTTTTAGTTGCAGTCATGCCATACTTTATGTTGTGGGAACATGTGTGCATGTATATGAGTGAATAATAACAGTCCCGGCTGAGGGGTTGATAATAGCCTGTGCCGTAGGGCCCTGGGGGGAGCAGGTAGACACTCCACAGTCCTGACCCTGCACTCTCACATTACTGAGTGCCTCGCTCTCCTTCTCAATCCCCGCCCAAGAACCACCACCATACCACCAACGCCGCCCACCTTCACTCCACCATGACATCATTACTGGATCTTCTTCCCTGCCTGAACCCCTCTACTGCTTTTTTTTTGTTCTGCTCTCTCCTTTGACTGTCACTTTTCTGGTACTTTTTTTTTTCCAAATGGAAGAGAAAAGGTTTTTTTTTGTTTTGTTTTATTAAGTTGGTATAACTCTTTTCTGGGCCCCTCAGGGTGGTCATACTTGAGCTCAAGTTCTAATCAAACCTGCAGTGTGCGCACACCGCCCCAGTCCCCAACTCCAACTCAAGTGTTGGGACTTAAAACACAAGCGGCCTGGCCGTCATCCAAAGCGGCCGAAAGACGGAGAGAGGTTCACTCAGTCCACTGACTCACGTCCTTCCCTTTTTGACTCCGCTCCAGAAATGATGTAATGCTCTTGGCTTTTCTCCCTCCCCCCACCCAGTGCCTCCATACCCCTTGATTTTGTCCCTCCCTCCTCTCCTCTCCTCTGCGCCTCACTTTCCCTCTCTTTCTCTCCTGGACCCTTCCAGCATCGCTGCACTGGCTCCTCGCTGGGTGAAGTCACTGTGAGCTCG